GGCGTCCTTATGAGGGGGCGTCCATATGAGGGGGCGTCCATATGAGGGGGCGTCCGCGGGAGGGGGCGTCCATATGAGGGGGCGTCCATATGAGGGGGCGTCCATATGAGGGGGCGTCCATATGAGAGGGCGTCCATATGAGGGGGCGTCCATATGAGGGGGCGTCCTTATGAGGGGGCGTCCATATGAGGGGGCGTCCATATGAGGGGGCGTCCATATGAGGGGGCGTCCATATGAGAGGGCGTCCGCGGGAGGGGGCGTCCATATGAGGGGGCGTCCTTATGAGGGGGCGTCCATATGAGGGGGCGTCCATATGAGGGGGCGTCCGCGGGAGGGGGCGTCCTTATGAGGGGGCGTCCTTATGAGGGGGCGTCCATATGAGGGGGCGTCCATATGAGGGGGCGTCCGCGGGAGGGGGCGTCCTTATGAGGGGGCGTCCATATGAGGGGGCGTCCATATGAGGGGGCGTCCGCGGGAGGGGGCGTCCATATGAGGGGGCGTCCTTATGAGGGGGCGTCCATATGAGGGGGCGTCCTTATGAGGGGGCGTCCATATGAGGGGGCGTCCATATGAGGGGGCGTCCGCGAGGGGGCGTCCATATGAGGGGGGTAGCGTCCATATGAGGGGGCGTCCATATGAGAGGGCGTCCATATGAGGGGGCGTCCATATGAGGGGGCGTCCTTATGAGGGGGCGTCCATATGAGGGGCGTCCATATGAGGGGGCGTCCATATGAGGGGGCGTCCATATGAGAGGGCGTCCGCGGGAGGGGGCGTCCATATGAGGGGGCGTCCTTATGAGGGGGCGTCCATATGAGGGGGCGTCCATATGAGGGGGGCGTCCATATGAGGGGGCGTCCATATGAGAGGGCGTCCGCGGGAGGGGGCGTCCATATGAGGGGGGCGTCCATATGAGGGGGCGTCCGCGGGAGGGGGCGTCCATATGAGGGGGCGTCCTTATGAGGGGGCGTCCATATGAGGGGGCGTCCATATGAGGGGCGTCCGCGGGAGGGGGCGTCCATATGAGGGGGCGTCCGCGGGAGGGGGCGTCCATATGAGGGGGCGTCCTTATGAGGGGGCGTCCATATGAGGGGGGCGTCCATATGAGGGGGCGTCCGCGGAGGGGGCGTCCATATGAGGGGGCGTCCATATGAGGGGGCGTCCATATGAGGGGGCGTCCATATGAGAGGGCGTCCATATGAGGGGGCGTCCATATGAGGGGGGCGTCCTTATGAGGGGCGTCCATATGAGGGGGCGTCCATATGAGGGGGGCGTCCATATGAGGGGGCGTCCATATGAGAGGGCGTCCGCGGGAGGGGGCGTCCATATGAGGGGGCGTCCTTATGAGGGGGCGTCCATATGAGGGGGCGTCCATATGAGGGGGCGTCCATATGAGGGGGGCGTCCATATGAGAGGGCGTCCGCGGGAGGGGGCGTCCATATGAGGGGGCGTCCATATGAGGGGGCGTCCGCGGGAGGGGGCGTCCATATGAGGGGCGTCCTTATGAGGGGGCGTCCATATGAGGGGGCGTCCATATGAGGGGGCGTCCGCGGGAGGGGGCGTCCATAGGAGGGGGCGTCCATATAGGGGGCGTCCTTATGAGGGGGCGTCCATATGAGGGGGCGTCCATATGAGGGGGCGTCCGCGGGAGGGGGCGTCCATATGAGGGGGCGTCCGCGGGAGGGGGCGTCCGTGCGCCCAACACAGGACACGATGAAGGCGGAGAAGCGGGAGCTCGGGAATTGGACCGAGCGGACTGAAGGCCCGGGTTGGCGCCGGATGCTGAGCCCATAAAGCTCCGCCCTGCGGCCCCACCGCCTGGTTATCTGCCTCAGACGCACCGCCCGGGCGCGGCTTCCTGGTGGCGGGCCGGGCACCGGGCACCCAGCAGCCGCCTCCAAGCACGGAGGTGCCTGCGCACGGGGCGGGGGGTGGGGGGGGGGGGGGAGAGCAGGCGATGGCGGCCCAGCGGTGCTGCCTGGATAACATCTAACAGGATATTGGGCCTGGGGGGGGGGGGGGCACCTGGTGCTGACGGTGCGGCTGGGACAGGCCCTCAGCCCCGGCCCGTGAGGTCCCTCCTGAGCACGAGGCCTCCTGACTGATGAGAGCCCCCCCAGGTGACCACGGGGCGCGGGGAGCACCCACCCCCAGAGGAGCACGCGCATCCTGACTTTGGGGGTGCAGGGCGGCCCAGACGCAGGACCGGGACCTGTGCCCCAGTTCGGGGGCTCTGGGTGCCCGACCGCTGCCCTGGGGGCGGGGGGGAGGCAGGGAGACACCAGGCTCGGGAAGGAAATGGGAGGGGCCCTTACACGGGACCCCAGGCCGAGAGAGAGAGAGAGAGAGAGAGAGAGAGAGAGAGAGAGAGAGAGAGAGATTCCCGTGCATGTCTGGGGAGAGGCAGGAGGGCCATGGCTTTTCAAGGTCGGGCAGGACTTAGCCCCCGTCCTGTCCCAGGTGCTGGGGTGCAGGCTCTGAGCTGCCCGGTCCCTGCCTTCTCTCTCTCTCTCTCTCTCTCTCTCTCTCTCTCTCTCTCTCTCTCTCTGAGACCACACTATGAACGTTTCTCTGAGCCCGGCCGGCTGGCTCAGTGGAACCAGGAGGTCAGGGTTCGATTCCCGGTCAGGGCACAGGCCCAGGATTCGGGCTTGGTCCCCAGTGGGGGGCGTGCAGGAGGCAGCCGACCCACGATTCTCTCTCATCATCGATGTTTCTCTCTCCCTCTCCCTTCCTCTCTGAAAACAATTTTAAAAACATTTTTTTAAAAAGAGTAGCTGTTCTGTTCTTAGGAGACGCGCCCATTTCTCCTGCGACGAACGGGCAGTTTTCAAACAAAACAAAAAAGAAACGAGCAGGTCGGTGAGGAGCCAGGAGAGAGCACCAGGGGCCACTCGGGCTGGGAGACCGCCGTCCGCTGGCGCCCCCCGCCCCCGACCCCGCCCCCCCGACCCCCGACCCCGACCCCCCGCCCCCCGACCCCGACCCCCCGACCCCGCCCCCACCTTCTGCAGAAGGTCGATCTCCTGCTGCTTGGCGTTGAGCACAGCCAGCGCCTGCTCATGCTCCAGCTCCAGCTGCTGCCGCCTCTCCGCGGCCTCGCGCATGTGCTGTGGGGACAGGGCAGGTCAGGGGGGGACCCCGCCCCCCGCCCCCCGCCCCCGCCCCTGGCTGCTCCCCCTGCGTCTCCCGAGGTTGGCGGGACCATCGGGGACACCCTGGCCCCAACGAGGCTTCCACCCCAGGCTTTCCCTTTTTACGTTTTATTTATTCATTCATTCATTTATTTATTTATTGACCCGCTGCCCCCTGCACGCCCCCGACTGGGGATCGAGCCACCACCCGGGCCTGTGTCCTGACCAGGGCCCGGGCCAGGGAGGAGCCTGCAGCCAAGGCACGTGCCCTTGACCGGAATCGAGCCCCAGACCTTCAGTCCGCAGGCCGAGGCTCTCTCCACTGAGCCACACCGGCCAGGGCTCTTTGTATTTTAAAGGCAAGAGCTACAGGCTCCCGGGCGGGCGAAGGTGAACAGTCCTTTCCTCGCTGTCTGTGTGCATTCTGTCTGTTCTCTGCGTTTTCCCTGGAGCCAATTACAGCCGCGGCCGCCCGGCCGGGCGGCTCTGGCTGAGCGTAGACCTAGGAACCAGGTCAGGGTTCGATTCCCGCTCAGGGCCCAGGCCCGGCTTGCAGGCCCGGCTTGCAGGCCCGATCCCCAGTGCGGGGCGTGCAGGGGGCAGCCGATCCATGATCCTCTCTGATCATTGGTGATTCTCTCTCTCTCTCCCTCTCCCTTCCTCTCTGAAATCAATACAAATTTTTTTTTTTAAAGAAAAATGTCATTTTCCTGCACAGGAGTTACCAGGGACCCTCGTAATGTCACTCAGTATGTGTGTGTGGGGGGGGGGGGGGCAGGGCAGACTTCAGTGCCCCCAGCAAACACCCCCCACCCCCCTGCCCAGAAGCTCCCAGAGCAGAAATTTCCTGCCTCCCGCTATCAGCTGTCTGCATCTCGCTTTATTGGAGTTCAGGCCGCACCACAAAGAGGCGCTCACAACGTGCACGAACCCCGACAACGGCCCAGGTTCCAGCGGGTGGGGGGTGAGCCTCTGTGCGCAGAGCACAGCCCCGGCGTGGGGGGCGGGGGGCGAGGGGGGGGGCTGAGATCGGGCGGATCGTCGGCCGCGGGCGTGTTCATGAACCAGCTCGGGGCGGTCGGAGCTGTCGTCTGAACTGACTGCGCTGTTGACCGTGAGGACAGAACTCTGTTCCCAATACTTTTTCCTTTTTCTTGGGCTCAAAACCGAAGGGGCGCCCGCCAGCGTGGCTCGGTCAGCGGCCCGGGTTGTGGGCTCCATCGGGGCGCGCAGGCGGCCGATCCATGATGCTCTCACCATGGATGTGTCTCTCTCTCCCTCTCCCTGCCTCTCTGAGGTCAATGAAATAGATACTTTATTATTTTTTTTTTAGAAAAACGAACGCAGCGGCACCTGGTTGCCATTCAGGCCGGCTGCCCCGCCCCCAGCTGTTTAATCTCCAAGGAGACGCAGGGGCGTAGCTGCTTTTACGGAGCCGCTTCCACAAACACCCGCGTGTTGTCCTTCGCGGCTTTCAGACCGTCCCGGGGGGAGGCAGCCGGAGGGCCCTGCCGGTGGATGACGGCCCGGAGGAGCGCGCACCCCTTTCCGCCCAGGAGCTCGCGGGGACCCCGGGAAGCGGGGGGGGGGGGGGGGGGGGGGGGGGGAGGACGGGGGCGGGGCGGGGGGACCCACCTTCAGGACCTGCTCTAGGTTCTCCAGCTTGGCTCGCAGCGCGCGCTTCTCCCACGCGGCCGAGTGGCGCTCCCGGGTCACAGCGGTGGGCGTGGGCGTGGGCGTGGGCGTGGGCGGCGCGCGGCGAGGCCCGGCATGCCCCGCCTCTACCTGCGCAGGAGGACGCGGAGGGGCTGCTCACCCCGCAGGAGGCCTGCGCTCGGCCCCCCACCGCCCTCCTCCTGCAGTGCTGTCCTCCCTCCCTCCCTCCCTCCCTTTCTCTCTCTCTCTCTCTCTCTCTCTCTCTTTCTTTCTTTTTGGTGAATCCTCACCTAAGGATATTTTTCCATAGATTTTCAGAGAGCATGGAAGGGAGAGACAGAGAAACATTGATGTGAGAGAAGCACACCGATTGCTTGCCTCCTGCACGTGCCCCAAACTGGGCTGGGGAATCTGCCACCTGCAACCGAGGTCCGTGCCTTTGACCAGAATCGAACCGGGGACCCTTCAGTCCGCGGGCCGACGCTCTGCCCACTGAGCCACACCGGCGGACGCTCTACCCACTGAGCCACCGTGGCCAGGGCCCCGCCCGGCATTCCTGGGTCCCTGAGCCCCGCGGGGTTTGCCTCGTGTGACTGGCTTAGTCCCCTCGTCACACGTCCTCAGGGTCCGTCCAGGCTGCGGGGGCGTCAGGGTTCCCTCCCCTTTTAGGGGTGAATCACGGCCCACGGTGTGGACGGACCGCACGGAGCTGGCCTCCGACCCTGGGCACCTGGCTGCCCCCACATTTCAGCGGTCGGGACTGACGCTGCCGCGCACACAGGGGCGCAGGCAACTCTCCAAACCCCTCTCCCCCGCCCCCCCACCCCGGGGTCTCTTGGGTGCGGGCCCAGAAGCAGGGGTGCTGGGTCCCGCGTGCCCTCCGCGCCCCGCTTCCCGGTGCCTGGCGATGGTGCTGAGTTACCGGGTCCAGCGGCCGGTCCCGAGCGGGGGGCCCTGCATGCTGGGCCTCAGGCGCGGCGCTCCCTGGGCGGCGGCGTCCTGCTCATTTTCCTACAACGAAAGGGAGGGGCGCGTGAGGTGACTCCCCAGAGTCCGGTGGGAGCCCTGGCCGGCCAGGCTCAGCTGCTGGGGCGCCCCGGCACCGAGGTCGCCAGTTCGAGTCCGGGTCAGGGCACGCGCCCAGGTGGCGGGCTCAGTCCCCGAGGGGGGCCTGCAGGAGGCAGCCATGGGTGTTTCTCTCTCATCACTGCTTCTCTCTCCCCCTGGCTCCATAAAATCAGATTGTTAAAATATACTTTTATTGATTTCAGAGAGGATGGGAGAGGGAAAGAGAGAGAGAGAAGCATCCATGATGAGGCAGAACCGTGGACCGGCTGCCTCCTGCACGCCCCCCACCGGGGATCGAGCCCGCCACCCGGCAGGTGCCCTGACCAGAACTGAACCCGGGACCCTTCCGTCCACAGGCCGACGCGCTATCCGCTGAGCCACACCAGCCAGGGCTCTAAAATCAATTTTTAAAAAATAACAAAATTACGCACTCAGGCAGCCCGAGCAGTGATGGGGCAGGACCCAGGGAACAAGGCGCAGAAACGTTAGGCCCGGAAGCGGCACCGACAGACTTTCCGCCGGACCGCCCGCCAGCGGCTCGTGGCGGAGGAGGACTTACCCGCGGCAGCTGTTCGCGCGGAACGAGCCTCCCAGGACCCTTCTAGAACAGCAGCCCGCAATAAAACGCTGCGTGTCTGCGGACACGTGTGAGTGTTTCCAGGGGTGATTTATGTCTCGTTGCAAAGGACAGCGCTGCCCGGAGAGCTTGGCTCCCACTCGCTCCTGCCCCCCAGGGGCTCCCGTTCCCGGTTCGAGTTCCGCGTGGCGGCCCTGGCCGGGGTGGCTCAGTGGGTAGCACGCCGGCCTGTGGACTGAAGGGTCCCGGGTTCGATTCCCGGTGAGGGCACAGGCCCGGGAGGTGGCTCCATCCCCAGTGGGGGGCGTGCAGGGGGCAGCCGATCCGCGATTCTCTCTCATCATGGATGTTTCTCTCTCCCTCTCCCTTCCTCTCTGAAATCGATAAAAACATTTTTTTTAAGTTTCAGAAAGTGTTGGAATAACTGGTTAAGTTTTCTATCCTGTTTTCGTTCTAAATCTCAAACGTGTCACATCTTCCCCCCACTTCCCCCCGCCTTCTGCCTCTCAGACGCTCCAGAATTTGGAAGGTGTTGTACACTCATCTGAACTGCCTTTTTATTTATTTTTTTAATAGATTTTTATTGATGTCAGAGAGGAAGGGAGAGGGAGAGAGAGAAACATCAATGATGGGAGAGAACCATGGACCGGCTGCCTCCTGCACGCCCCCTGCTGGGGCTCAAGCCCACAACCCAGGCCTGTGCTTTGACTGGGATTCGAACCCGGGACCCTTCAGCCCACAGGCCATCGCTCTACCCACTGAGCCAAACCGGCCAGGGCCGAACTGCCTTTTTATTAATCTCCTTTTCTGACTGACAGTAACATATGCTCACGATGGGAAACGCATAAAGTGTGGAAAAGTTCAAAACGAGCCGGAAACCCACCAGAGCCCCCAACGCCGAGCCTCCGATCCGCGAGCCGCGCGAGGAAGACGGAGCGGAGCCTCGTTAGCGCGGACGCCTCTCCCCGACGCTGAGCAAATGGGCCATTTGTGTCGAGCAACTCGGGGGGCTGATCCAATGGCCTCACCGCCAGCCTCGGGGGAACGAGGAGGCTTCCTCCGTGAGAAACAAACAATGATTCTGCGAGACCCTCCGGGAGGGGCCTCGGACGGCGGGAAACAGAAACCAGTGGGCAGCAGCTCGAAGGAGCCAGACAGCCACAGACGGGCGGGCGGGCGGACGGACAGGCCTTCAGCCCCACGCGCCCCGGCCCGCCTCTCCGCCCTCCCAGGCACCGACCCCCCATGAGCTGGATCTGGATGGCCTAGGGGTCCAGCGTGACCCCCAGGGCTGCCCCCTGAGTCGTGCTGGGGAGACGGGGAGATGCGCCCGCAACCGAGGCACATGCCCTTGGCCGGAATCGAACCCGAGACCCTTCAGTCCGCAGGCCGGCGCTCTACCCACTGAGCCACACCGGTCAGGGCCTGCTGGCTACGTCTTCAATCTTCTCTAAGGTCACTGTCCACAGCTTGGCAGCGAGCGCCCCGGGTTCTCAGAGCCTGGGGTCCGCGGCTCCGTGTCTTTTGGAAACACGCGCCGTGACTTCTTCAGGCATCACTTCCGCGTCCTCCTCTCCTTCCCTCCCCGGCCGTCATCTCGTGTGTCACACGTCTACGCGGGGCCGCGCATGTCTCTCCTGTCCTCTGCGTGTTCCCTCCCAGGGAGGAGGGAGGAGAGAGGAGGGAGGAGCAGGGAGGGGGGAGGGGGGAGGGAGGGAGGAGGGAGGAGGGACGGGGCGGGAGCTGGCATGGGGCTGGCACGGACTGGCATGGGCCTCTGCCAGCAGCCAGGAGGCATATGTGCGCACCGCAGGCCCTAAGCGACAGCCGGGGCCGAGCAGCGCGTCCCGCCGCCATCGGCAGGTGCGGCGGCGGCAGATAAAGACCTTCCTTGGAAAGAAGCCTCGAGGGGTGGCCGGCGGCCAGGAGCCGCACCGAGCGGCCTGCGGACGAGGGAGGGCGGGCTCCGTGGGAAGCTGCCTTCACATTGTGGCATCCAACGGGCAGAGCTGGGGCGATGCTTCTCCCACACGTCGTATCCACTCCACCACCCAGTCACGCCTGTGCTGCCCACGGCCAGAGAGACACGCCGGGGGCTGGGGAACAGCCAGGAAGGCAGCTCCCTGCCCTCGGGGGAGTCACACGGACCACGGGCAGACGGACGGACGGACGGACGGCGTGGCTGCAGGCAGAGTGGGCCGCTCCCCGTGGGGGCAGCTGCGTCACAAACCAGTTCCCCGACCCCGGGAGCCCCTGTCCCCGTGCCCTCCCGCCCGAACCCTGCTGTCCCCGCAGGCCCACGGCGCCCTCCGCCCGAGGCCCCCAAACGCAGAGACCTGACCCCCCGCCCCGTTCACAGGGGGCGCGGGAACTGCCGGCAGCCCCTCTGGGGGCCAATCAATCACTAAACGGGCTTCGGACTCAGCAGCTCTGGGCTGGGCCTGGCAGCTCCCGGGGAAGCAGGAAATGCGTGAGCCCCTCTCTCCATAGCGACCATCAGCGTGGGTCCCTGAGCAAACCGGGCAGGTCGCCATGGGAACCAGACATCGGCCGTGGCCCCGGGTTAAACATCAGCTCCCTTATCAGCCGCTCCGCACGGAAGCCTGGTCCGCAGGCAGCTGGCGGCTCCCAGCACGGCATCTGCCAGGGCGACGCGCCGTTGCCTGGTTACTCGCTGGGGAAGGGCGAGCCCGGGCTGGTCAGCAGGTCCCCGCGCCCGGCCTGGATGTGGGGACCGGGCGGCGTCAGGAACGAGGCGCTGGCGGAAAGCACGCTGGCCTGGGGGTGGTGCCCCAGGGATCCCCGGAGGCCTGCAGGACCCCCCACACACACACAGCAGCTGCCCCTCCACCATCCCCCCCACAGTGACTAGGCGGAGCCCGTTCCGGACCTCTCCCCGCGTCTGGGTGCACCAGGTCCTCAGTTTCTCCACCCATGGGTCACCCCCATCTCCACCCCCATCTCCAGCGGGGTGTTTTTTTCTTTAAAAAACAATATTTTTATTGATTTCAGAGAGGAAGGGAAAGGGAGAGAGAGAGAGAGAGAGAGAGAGAGAGAGAGAGAGAGAGATAAACATCCATGATGAGAGAGAATCATGGATCGGCCGCCTCCTGCACGCCTCACACTAGGGATGGAGCCCGCAACCCGGGCCTGTGCCCTGACCGGGAATCGAACCCTGACCTCCTGGTTCCTAGCTCGATGCTCAGCCCCTGAGCCGGCCGGGAAAGACTCCTGATCCTGGCCCCAAGGCTCTGGGAAAGGGATCTTCGGGAAGATGGTGCTAAGGTAACAGACTGTGGGGGATCCTTTCCACGAGTCAGAAGCAGGAAGTCCAAGCAAGGGTGGTTTTCGGTTCCGTGACTGAGCCTCACCGTAGACGTGTCAGGAAATAGAAAAACAGCAACAGGCCTGTGCGCTCTGAAGTGCATGACGAAGGGGCTCTGTTACCACGGAGACCAATACGCAGGAAACAGACATTCCCGGGACGCTGCCTGAGCTCCTGGATCAAGCCATTCCTGAAGCTGTGCTGCTCTCTCTCCAACGGCCCCAGCCAACGCGCTCGCCTCTCTGCGAAAGCTCGTTCGCGCTGGTGTTCTGTGGTCGGCAGGCTCGAGGGCCCCAACCACGACGCGGGGGCAGGGAGCCCGGAGAGCTTCCCGAGAGCAGCCACCCCGCAGCCTCCCGGGCCTGCTCCTCAGAACAAAAGGAGAAAGTCGGGTGCACGCCAGGGTCTGGCTTTGCCAAGAGACACGAGTAAAACAGACGCCGTGGGGACCCCGGTGCCCAAGCTGGACGTCTGAGTCCCACAGCCGTTTCCCAGCCCCTGCCGACCACCCCTGCCCCTGCCCCTGCCCCAGACAGAGCCAGCCCTGCCCCAGGCCGAGGGCGCTTCCCATCAGGCTCGGGGCAGCGCTCACGATCACGTGACTGTAATTGGCCCTAAGACGTTGCTATCAACAGAGCCTTTTCCGATTCGTCTACTTAAAGAAAAAAAGGAGCCAACGAAATGGAATTTACAACATGTAATGGCCTTAGTCACGGCGGTAACGACATTAGGAGCCGTCTGAACTAGACCTTCTCACCCAGATAACATGATGCTCATCTGTCCTGAGGCCCAGCCGGCCGGACAGGAGCCCGGAACTGCGGGCGGCCCCGTCTGACCGCCGTGCGTCCGGGGCTCGGTCCCGGAGCCCAGGAACCGCCCACGGGTCCCCAGGTGGCCTCTGAGGTCACGGGGCCGGGTCCCCCCGGACCCACGAGCCTGCGTGTCTGCGACCAGCCATCAGCCCCCTCTTCCGTGAGCAGGTGCGTGCGCTTCTAGGACGTGGAGGTGCTGACCATGGAGACGATGTCGCCACCTCGAAACCTCTGGTAAAATGCTAGTTATTTTTCCAATAAACGATGACGTTTTACCCAGCAAATACTTGCCGGCGTCTGTCTTTTTGGTTGTTGTTAATCCTCACCCGAGGATTTTTTCCCATTGATTTGATTGATTGATTGATTTCCGAGAGGAAGGGAGAGGGAGAGAGAGAGAAACACCAATGATGAGAGAGAATCATGGATCAGCCGCCTGCTGCACGCCCCCCACTGGGGATGGAGCCTGCAACCCGGGCATGAGCCTTGACCGGGAATCGAGCCAGCAACCTCCTGGTTCATAGGTCAACACTCAGCCACTGAGCCACGCCATAGCATGACCCTGGCTACGACCTCGGCCACCGTCCAGGGGCATTCGCGGCGTTTTAACTTTACTGGGACGGCAGGCGCGCTCCGGGCCTCCTGGGTCGGACACGCAGCCCCTGGCGCACGGGCCCGGCCCCCCCTTAGCCACGGGTCACGAGGACCTGTTGTCGATTGCTTCCCTTCACGGTGAAATGATTCGAACATCCACTCGCTTCCACAGCGAGGACAGGAGCTAAATTTAAATGCGATCACTTAACGATGCGTCTGCAAAGCAGCCAACATTCCATCAAAAAAACACACGAAAAAACAGCCCGTTCCAAATATAGGGAAGAGACGCACGCGTGCGCATCGCCGCTCCCTGCAGCGCCAGCCCCCGGGCGCCCGGAATAACGACATCCAGGGGCCTGCCTGCACCCCGGGGCGACGAGGGGCGTCTGGGTGCCGGGCCATGGAGAGGTGCGTGACCGGGGAAACGCCGGCAGACGACCACCCACGTCCCCAGCGAGACGCATCCTGTCTGAGAGCGCCCTTAGCGACACCATCTGAGCGCGCGAGCCGTCCTCTCATGAACAACGTCTGTCCGTCCGTCTGTCCGTCCGTCCACCGGAGGAACGGCTCCTGTTACATCCATGACGATGGAAGACACGGGGCCGGGGTCTCTTCCAGGCGTCTCCCCTCCCCCAGGGACCTGCCTTTACTGGTTAAATGATACTTTTTGGGGGGGTTAGGCTGAAACCAAAAACAAATGGTTACCAAGTATAAATCCTGTACCTGAAACAGCCGAGTTTCACACACAGAAAATGAACACAAACTAGAAATCTCGGGAGCAGGTGTGAAGTTAAGTTTGCTGAATGGCTGGAGCCATTCCTACCATCACCATCACCACCATGACCATCACCACCATCACCACCACCATCATCACCATCACCATCACCACCACCACCACCACCACCACCACCACCACCATCACCACCACCACCACCACCATCACCACCATCACCACCACCATCACTATTACCACCATCACCACCACCATCACCACCACCATCACTATTACCACCACCATCATCACCATCATCACCATCACCATCACCACTATCACCATCATCACCATCACCATCACCACCATCATCACCATCATCACCATCATCACCATCACCATCACCACCACCACCACCATCACCATCACCACCACCACCATCACCACCACCATCACCACCACCACCATGACCATCACCACCATCACCACCACCATCACCACCACCACCACCACCACCACCATCACTATTACCACCACCATCATCACCATCATCACCATCACCATCACCACGATCACCACCATCATCATCACCATCACCATCATCATCATCACCATCATCACCACCACCACCACCACCATCACCACCACCATCACTATTACCACCATCATCACCATCATCACCATCACCATCACCACTATCACCATCACCATCACCATCACCACTATCACCATCACCATCACCACCACCACCATCATCACCATCACCATCATCATCACCATCATCACCACCACCACCATCACCATCACCACCACCATCATCATCACCATCATCACCACCATCACCATCACCATCAACCACCATCACCACCACCATCACCATCACCATCACCATCACCATCACCACCATCACCACCACCATCACCACCATCACCACCATCATCACCATCACCACCACCATCACCACCATCAACCATCACCACCATCACCACCATCACCACCATCATCACCCACCATCACCATCACCATCACCATGACCACCATCACCACCATCACACCATCACCACCATCACCACCATCATCACCATCACCATCACCACCACCATCACCACCATCACCACCATCACACCATCACCACCATCACCACCATCATCACCATCATCACCACATCACCACCATCATCATCACCACCACCACCATCACCATCACCACCATCACCACCATCATCACCATCACCACCACCATCACCATCACCACCATCACCACCATCACCACCATCATCACCATCATCACCACCATCATCACCATCATCACCACCATCACCACCACCACCACCATCATCACCATCATCACCATCATCACCATCACCACCACCATCACCATCACCACCATCATCACCATCATCACCATCACCACCATCACCACCACCATCATCACCATCACCACCATCACCACCATCACCACCACCATCACCACCATCACCATCATCACCATCACCATCACCACCATCACCACCACCATCACCACCATCATCACCATCATCACCACCATCACCACCATCATCACCATCATCACCATCACCACCATCACCACCATCACCATCACCATCACCATCATCACCATCATGTTTTACTGGAAAACGAGACTCAGATCCCCTGTTTCTCTCGGGAGCAGCCCCAATGCCAGGCCCAGGCGGCCGGGTCACCTGCTTCCCGCGCGCGTCTGACCAACCACCACAGCCACCAGGGCCTGGCCAGCCACTCGCCCCGTGAAACCTCGGGTGGAGAGCGGCGGTTTCATCCTCACCACCTACAAGCACCTAGGCATCCCGGGTGCGAGTCCCTGTCCCGGCACCGGTCACGCCTCCGCACAGGGACCCGCCCACCAGCCGTGCCGCAGGGAGCGAGGGAGCCGGCCAGGTGTCTCCCCGAACTCCGACCTGGCCACCCGCCCGCTGCTGCTCTCCGTGTTCAGGGTCCACTCGAGCTCAGAACCAATGAAGTCTCAGTGCCCAACGGAACCCGAACCTTCCCCCCCACCGGATGCTCCTGCTGTCACTCTCACTGAGGCAACGGACGCCTCCCTCCACCGACGTCCTCGCCAAAATCTGAGAGCCGTGCCCTCCCCCAACCCCCGCCCCGTCCATCACCGTGACTGAGGGCTCCCACGGCCCTCCATCTGCCATCTCCCACCTCCCATCCCTGACACCCCGTCCAAGCCCCACTGCCACTCACTGGGCCCACACGGTGGCCTCCTGAGGCGCCCGGCTGCCGCCCGTGCCTCCATCTCCACCCAGAACTTGCAGTGATCGCTTCAGACGGCACCTTTGACCCTGGCAACCTCCCACCTGACATCTGCCCCTGCTGGCTGGCCCCTGGCCACTGCTATTAAGACTTACAATCAGCCCTGGCTGGTGCGGCTCAGTGGATAGAGCATCAGCCTGTGGACCGAAGGGTCCTGGGTTCGATTCCAGTCAAGGGCATGTACCTCAGTTGCAGGCTCCTCTCCAGCCTGGGCCCTGGTTGGGGCGTGAGCAGGAGGCAACCCATCGATGTGTCTCTCTCACATCGACGTTTCTCTCTGTCTCTCCCTCTCCCTTCCACTCTCCCTAAAAATCAATGGAAACATATCCTCAGTGAGGAGCAACAATAACAAAGAGACTTACAATCAATAACACAGCCCAGAGGCCCGGGAGGAGCTGCCCTGTCCACCTCTCCCGCTTCGTGTCCAGACAACCACTCTCCATGCCGCAGGCTCCTTCGTGCCCCAGGGCCTTTGCACGGCCCTTGCCCCCCCACCCTGCTGTCGCTGCAGCATCCGCTCTGCTCGCCATGCTGTCCGCCCAGGTAACGGACACACAGCTGGCCGTTGACCGACACGTCTTGACCAGGCCACTCAGGGACGACGACGAAGAAAAGCACTCAGCACACAGCCGCCCGACACCAGGCACAGCGCCTGGGAGGCAGGAGGGACAGCTTACCAGAGAGCGCCGCGGCCGGGCGCCTGGTCTCGCGACAGGAAGCGGGGAACCCCCGGCGGCTCCTCCCGGTGTGGGCGCTGACCAGACGCGCCTTCCGGACCCACAGGCTTCAGGGGCGACGGGTCATTTCTCAGCTGCAGGAAGAAGCGTACGATCTTCGGTCACAAAAGAAGGGCCAGGGGCCCGGCCGGCGCGGCTCAGGGGCTGAGGGTCGACCTGTGAACCAGGAGGTCAGGGTTCGATTCCCCGTCGGGGCACAGGCCCGGGTTGCACCTCGATCCCCAGTGGGGGGCGTGCAGGAGGCGGCCGATCCGTGGTTCTCTCTCATCGTGGATGTCTCTCTCTCCCTCGCCCTTCCTCTCTGACATCAATGGAAATATTTTAAAATAAAAACAACGAAACTGAAAAGAGAACCCGGCGCCCGCAGGATGAGTGACGGCGGGGGAGCCGGTTGGTGGGAACAAGACGGGGGGTTTGCGGAGTTCAGGCCAACTGTGCCGCCTCGTGTCTGAGCTACAGCTCCTCAGCCCCACCCCCCTTCCCGCTCTTCCGGCCCCCGAACGGGAACCCACAGGATGCCGGGGGCCCCACCGCACCCGGGGGCTCGGAGGGACCAGCTGGACGGACGGCAGCCTCTCCCAGGCGCCAGGTCTGGGCCAGGCGGGTGGCGAGCGGGAAGACTGTTTACTTATTCATACCCCGTCCCCGCCGCCAGGAACGGCTGTGTCAGCCGAGTCGCCTTCTCTCCCCTCCTCCTCCTCCTCCTCCTCCTCCTCTTCCTCGCTGACCCCTCGGACGGTCCCAGCTGCTTCCCGTGCTCAGACTTAGCAGTGTTTCGATTCTTTTTAAAAGTTTTCGTGAATCCCCGAGGATGTCTTCCCATTGATTTTTAGGGCGAGTGGAAGAGGGAGAGACAGAGAGAAACACATCGAGGGGCTGCCTCCTGCAGGCGCCCCGACCAGGGCCCGGGCCGGGAGGAGCCTGCCAGCGCGGTGCCTGCCCTGGACCGGAATCGAACCCGGTACCTGGTCCACAGGCTGACGCTCTAGCCCAGGGTGGGCAAACTTTTTGACTCGAGGGCCACAATGGGTTCTTAACCTGGACCGGAGGCCGGAACAAAAGCATGGATGGAGCGTTTGTGTGAACTGATATAAATTCAAAGTAAACATCGTTACATAAAAGGGGACGGTCTTTTTTTTCAATAGTTTTATTCATTTCAAACGGGTTTGCCCACGGCTGCTCTAGCCACTGAGCCACACCGGCCAGGGCTGTATTTCGATCCTTTTGCACTGAGACATTTTTATGGCCCAGAATGAGGTCTGGTGAGTATTCCCTGGACACATGGGGGGTGGGGGGCAGTATCTTCTCTCCTGTTGTTTCTATGAGTGACGGTGCCCGTGACATGAAATCCACTCGCAAAGGCCCACCCTCAGGGTCAGTCACTCTACCCTCCCCCCCCACTCCCCCCACACCCCCTTGTTCTGTCCATGACGGACAGAAGCGTCTTAAATCCCAGCGTTCTCTGCCGGCGGCCGGCGGGGCTCCGTGGGCACGACCGCAGCCTGCCCTTCGCGTCCAAATATTTACCAGACGCAGAAGCCCTGCCTGGCTCGCTGCGCTCTGCGCCCGGGAGGACCAGCCCTTCCACCCGGAGGAAAAGGAAGCAGCCGTTTGCAAAGAGGGACCGGAGGGTCGTATTTCACGGAGCAAATTGACAAAAGGTCAAAAAGCTTGACCTCTGCCAGGGACGGGCTGGCTCAGAAAGCTGAGCCGTCATTTAAATATTTATAGGCAGGAGCCGAGGGGCGCCGAGGGAGGGGGAGGGGGCGCTGGGGGGGGAGGGGGCTGAGGGAGGGGGAGGGGCGCCGAGGGAGGGGGAGGGGGCGCTGACGACGCTGATGTCCCCAGGGGAGGGGATGCGGGGCCAGGCCGGGCGGGCGGGCGGTCCACAGGCACTCACCACGTTCTCTCCCAGGAGTGGGGTGGGGTGGAGGGGGGTGGGGTTGGGGGGCAGGGAAGGCGGGGGGGGGGGGGGGGCGCCCAGGAGACGCATTAAACCAATTAGAGCAGGTGCTGGGAGGAGGGTCTATGGAAATAAGAAGCCGGTTTCCATGGGGGCGTCTGAGGGCGGCCACCCAGCAGGTGCACCGGGCGGGGCATGGCGCTCACAGTCAGGGGCGTGGGGGAAGCGAGTCTTGCATTTCAGGGGCCCCTGGACCCCGCCAGGCCCCCATCCCCCCTCAGTCGTGCGGATGGAAAGGAAGCTCTGGCCAGGCCGGTGTGGCTCAGTGGTTGGAAATCTGGGAACCAGGAGGTCAGGGTTCGATTCCCCGTCGGGGCACAGGCCGGGTTGTGGGCTCGCTCCAGTGTGGGGCGTGCGGGGGGCCGCCGATCCATGGTTCTCATCATGGATGCTTCTCTCTCTCCCTCCCTGTCTCCCTTCCTCTCTGAGACCAGCGCCCCTCCGCCGGCCGCTGGGCTGTTTGGGGCCCAGGGCACAGCCAGGACGGCACCCGCGGGACCTCGAGGCCACCCCACCTCACCCCCGCGGCCGTGTCGCGGTCACGTGGCCCCTAGGCTGACGAGAGGAGGCGGGCGATGGTGGCCACACATTAAATCACGGCTCGGATTCAAGGCGAAGGCTGGGCCGGGCGGGGCTGGTCTGACGGGGAAGGAGCAGTGGATGCGCCCGCTGGGCCCCTGCCCGGCGCCCACGGCCGGCGTTTAGTGCAGCCTGGCTTCTCGGTGGGCGGCTCGGAGTCGGCGGAGCCAGGGCCCAGCTTCCAGCATGACTGGAGCCAGCGCCACCTGCCAGCGGGCCGGGCGCCACGGAGGGGCTGGGAGCAGATGGCTGCGCGCGCTGCAGGCCGTGGTGTGAACTGGAAACGAGGGAGAGCGCGCAGGGGAGGGGAGGGAGGGGGAGGGGGAGGGGAGAGGGAGGAGGGGGAGGGGGAGCCGCGGGAGGGGCAACGGATCAATGACAGCACACACCCTTCACGAAGGACAAGGCTGACCCGGTACAGAGGTTAGAGACCAGCTTCCAGGTGAGAGACACAGAGAGACAGAGAGACACAGAGAGACAGAGAGACACACAGAGAGAAAGTGTGTCCTCCTTCCCCGTTATTCCCCCAGAGCTGCCCGTCGGAGGGGACCCTGTCTTTGGAGAGAGAGGCCCTGGCCCAGCCCCGGTCACACCCCGGGGACCGGGGACAAGGGACCTCCTGGGGTGGGGCCTGTACTTTCTCATCCGAGGAGCCGATGACCAGCAGGCTGTGTGGACATGGACTCGAATACAGAAACAAGAGCTTAGCCAGGGCCTGGCCCCGGGCAGGAGCAGCCTGACTGTCCGACCCTCCCCCTTCCGGCCGGCCGGACAGCGGCGGCGGCTTCCAGCCGTGGGTTTATTTGGGGGGCGGGGGAGCTGCCCCTTAGACTCCCAGAGAGGTTCCCCCTGACAGGCTGTCCCTGCTCAGGCTCGCAGGGCACCGGGCACCTGTGGGCACAGGCTGGCCGTGCGCCTGGAGCCCGGAATGACCACGGCCGGTGCCACCAGGGCCGCCCGGTCACCAAGAGCCACGCGCGAGCCCAGCCACGGCCACAAGGCCCCCGGGGTTCCCTGCCCGGCAGGAGCCTGGCGCTTGGGGAGTCGGTGGGACCGACCAGCCTGCTAATCCCATCGCCTTCTACCGGCCGGTCAGCTCGGGGTCCGGAGCAACGGCCCGAGAACAACAGCCCACGGCTATGGACCCTCACTCTACGGACCCTCGCTCTACGGACCCTCACTCTACGGACCCTCGCTCTACGGACCCTCGCTCTACGGACCCTCACTCTACGGACCCTCACTCTACGGACCCTCGCTCTACGGACCCTCACTCTACGGGGCCCTCGCTCTACGGGGCCCTCGCTCTACGGGGCCCTCGCTCTACGGACCCTCGCTCTACGGGGCCCTCGCTCTACGGACCCTCGCTCTACGGGACCCTCGCTCTACGGGACCCTCGCTCTACGGACCCTCGCTCTACGGGGCCCTCGCTCTACGGGACCCTCGCTCTACGGACCCTCGCTCTACGGGGCCCTCGCTCTACGGGACCCTCGCTCTACGGACCCTCGCTCTACGGAACCCTCACTCTACGGACCCTCGCTCTACGGACCCTCGTTCTACGGAACCCTCGCTCTACGGACCCTCGCTCTACGGGACCCTCGCTCTACGGACCCTCGCTCTACGGACCCTCGCTCTAGGCCAGGCTGAGCTGTGACGTCTCACCCCAGTCAATGCCTTTCTTGTCAAAACGCTGGAGGCTGTGTGAGGAGAGGGTGACAGGCAGCACCACCAAGCGCTGACTCTGTCCTGAGCCGAGAACAGCCCTTCGAGGAGGAGACGCCATCGCTCCCCCATTTCACAGATGAGAACACGGAGGCCCAGAGCGGCTTAGAGACGTCCCCGCAGCCACACAGCCAGGATCAGAGCCGGCCGGTCTGGCTCCGGACTCTGCCCTCCAACCACAGCCAAGGGCCCTTTCAGACGGACGGGCTGGGAACCGACTTCTCTCGCCGGTGCCAGAGGGGAGAGGGGGCGCACGAACAGGTCAGCACGCTCCCGGGCCGTGTGGTGCAGGGGTTAGGTGTGTGGCTCCGCCCACGGTGCCTCCGTTCAGCTTGGCGGCACCACTCCCTCCCTCGGCCGCGGGACCTGGGGCCGGTGACCCGCCTCCCTGGGTCCTGGCGCCCCCCCACCGTCACCACCCCCCCCCCCCAGGAGCTGAGCATCCGACCGAGGTAACCAATGGGACCCCCTGGGGCAGGGCGCAGCCACGGGAGGGGCCGATACGCAAAGTTAGAACGAATCCAAAACAGCCTGAAGCAGCCCGGCCGGCGTGGCTCCGTGGCCGAGCATCGACCTACAAACCAGGAGGTCAGGGTTCGATTCCCCGTCAGGGCACAGGCCCGGGCTGCGGGCTCCATCCCCAGTGGGGGGCGTGCAGGAGGCAGCCGGTCCATGATTCTCTCATCATTGATGTTTCTCTCTCTCTCTTCCTCTCTGGTATCAACAAAAAAATTCTTTTAAAGACGGAAAACAGGAGACTGGGACACGGAAACAGCTAGAGGCTCACGTGAGGCAGGACGCCAAGAACAGCCC